AACGAGGCCCCGCGAGCCTTTTTCCAGCCACCGTCTACCCTGTATTAATTCAGTTCCGCGTGGGCCCCCCACCTTCCCGCGCACTGGGATCCTCCTCCCGGGATCACGGGAGCGCTTTACAGGCTCCAGGGAACCCGCGGCCGCTCCGCTTCGCGCTGCCCGCGACCTCAGCAGCGCCACCGATTCCCGCCTCCGGGCGCAGGGGCAGGATTTACTCCTGAGCCTCAGGACACGACGATGGAGCAGGTTGCGCCGCCGCGTGGGCCCCCCACCTTCCCGCGCACTGGGATCCTCCTCCCGGGATCACGGGAGCGCTTTACAGGCTCCAGGGAACCCGCGGCCGCTCCGCTTCGCGCTGCCCGCGACCTCAGCAGCGCCACCGATTCCCGCCTCCGGGCGCAGGGGCAGGATTTACTCCTGAGCCTCAGGACACGACGATGGAGCAGGTTGCGCCGGGCGCGCATGTATCGGCACTGCGACATCGCGCGCTCTGCAACGAAAACTTCCCAAGCGGGCCCAAGCGGCCTCCCACCGACAGCCGCAGCACCCAAACTGTTCCCTACGCCCATGTCCCTTTGTCAGGGTCCCTCGCACTCACTACTGCTCTCTCCTGAGCCACGTACCATTCCCTCTCGCGATCTTACTTATCGCTGAATTATACATACTGCTTTCGCAGCCTGTTAGTAAAGAAGGTTAAATTAATTTACATTCTGCTCATTATCTGGTGTTTAAATGACGTGTTTTTATCCCTGAGATTTGGCAAAGAATCTCTTCCCGCAGACCCCACAGCGTTTCGATGGAGACAATGCTCTTACATTTGTAGTGGATTTTAATCTGATAAGACTCTAATTTGCTTAAGTCTTTTAAATAGGGGGTTTAAAATGATTCTAGCCATTTTCTTATTGAATTTCCTCTAATTCCCCCAAGATCATAAAGTATATGTGTAAAGTAAATATTTCCTCCCTTTGCACCGGCAGCAGATGACCTATAACTAAGTCAATATGAATCCAGCTCGGCTCCGCACAATTTGTTTACTAATCACATCCCCGTTTCTCCTTTGGGCTCCGCACCCACCCGCCCGCGTTGGGTGCGCACCCGCGGAGGCGCCGGGACGCCACGAGCCCGCAGCTCCGTCGCGTTTTTAAGGCAGGCCCTCCTGCTTGAGCTATTTCTTTTGCTGGTTTGGAATCCCGCATATCCAACCGCCAGCTGAGCGCCAGCCTTGATTTCCCGAGCGAAACGATATTTTAAATGTGTCAACCCACCGAAAAACAACCTAACTGCAGCCACCAGAGTAATATATTACTAACGAGGGTTTCAATTAAAATGTCAAAAATGCCTTTTTTTTTTTCTACTGAAAGCTCCTGTCCCTTCTCGAGGACTCCCCCAAGCTGCGTCCCCCAGCGCCCTGTGGGGCAGTTCCCTGCGCTGGGGCCGAGGGCGTCTGCCAGTGACAAATGCTGAGACTGGGGGCCTCCCCCACCACTGTTACTACTACTATTATTATTATTACTATTTGTATTACTATTATTATTACTATTCGTATAGTTTTCCCGTTTTCCTGACGGGCGGTTTCGCGGCCGCGGCGCTGGGCGCAGACAGAGGTGCGGGGAGCCGGGGGCGCTGCCGGCCCTACCGCGACTCTATCTTCCCACTTTTGCCTTTATCTACTCCAAGGATCGTTGTTTCTGGACGTAATACTCTGCTAAACGGATAAATCGGTCCTTGTGTGGAGTCTCCAGCTAGTCCTGTTGTCTTTTACCTTTGGCTTGTTGTCTCTCGCCTATCTCGGATTACCGGGTATTCTCCTAGATGAAGAGCCATTAATTACCCATTCAGTCAATATTAGGAAGACTACAGAGCTTTTTACATAGGATTAAGAAGACATCAGATTGTTCCATTAGTATATTCCTGCTCACGAATAAGCTTTCGTTATACATTTAGTTTTCCCTGGAGTGAGGCGAACAACTGCTGCATATGTGATGCGCGGGCGGTGGCGGAGGGGGGAATTGCGTCCCCACAGCACAACAAATAACTTTTAATTTGCGCTTCGCAGGGGCTACTGCAAGGGGAGAGCGACTTTCCCTGCCTTGGCCTGCAGCAG